GATGACAAGAGCAGGGCCTGCACAGAAGTCCCCGGAGGGCAGCGAGTGGATCTCATTTCATCCTCGTATTCCTGTATTCCGAGGACCTGGCACAGTTTGCCACGTAATCTGCACTCTGTAAATAACTTCAGTTGAGTTGAGTTAGATGTTCAAGAGACAAGATAACAAGGGATAATAGAAATCTATCAGCCAGGCAAAAGTATCCTTTAAAAATAAACTTGCCTCCAAAGAATTTCCCATGGGGCATTTTATCATCTATATATTAAACGGCAACACTCTTCGTTTTCATGTGCAACTGTTCTACTAATTCTTCTTTTCTAACAACCTGGAAGGAATACCACCTGGTACTTATACCCAAGAAGGGCTTTTGCTAACTTCGGGAACTTGAACCTACTTGAACAGTTTTTACACTTTGGGGTTAAATAGGAAACACTTTTGAATCTAGTAAGTATACACAGTTGTTCCAGCAACAAATTTAGCAAATATTTTCCAGGATATAAGTGCTCTAGACCGTGCAAAGTACTAGGAGTCTAAAGATTTGTAGAACGTGGATCTGCCCTCTGAGAGTTCACAGTCTAGGAATGCCATTGGGTAGGGGCTAAGAGTAGATAAACCGATTAATGAACATTTTGTTATTCTAGAAAAACATACGTTCTATCATCTTTGGCCGTGTTTTTACTTTGGATATATAGAATGGTACTTTTCAGATCCCATAAAACTCAGTAATTCCACTGGAACTCTGTAAGAAAAACAGAATTCTGTGACTTTGTGTTCCATTTAGAAATTCTCCATGTTGTCTGTGTCTGAAAGTTGAAGGTCTCTTGGAGAAACTGCAGTCTCCACTAAGTCACCAGCCGCCAGGGGCTGAACGCGGGTGTATGCATCCCCGTCCTAGGCACCCCTGGCGTCTGTAGCAGCTATACTCTGTTTGGAGAAAGAAGTGGGGAGAAAAATTGTTCTTAGTTACATATTTTCTGTATGACTAAAATGTTTTCCCTGCTTCCAGGGGATTTAACTAATCATCAAGGTTTCATTTAGTCTATTTGTTTTAAAATCAGACTTTACATAGAAAGCTTTCCATTGTGTGTTCTAATTCCCTTTGGAAACGTTCTGTGTGGGCCAGCACCAAGGTAGACTCCTCACCACTCCCTCCGCCACCCCTGGAGCGGAGCTCAACTGTCGCAATAGCACTGCTGGTCCTAAGTCCCCAAGTCCGAGCCTGAATTCCTGATCTAAGTCGCTGGTTTCATCGGGCTCAAGCGCTTTGTTTTCAGATAAAAACAGAAATAAATCTTTTACCTTTAGTTCATAATCAAGCTCCCAGATGATTTGCGTAAGCAATAGAAGAGTGGGTTTCTCTTCAAGAACGGTTGCTGACTAGCTGGCTACCCTCTCTGGTCCTTCATGGTTGCCTCTCTCCCATGAGTAGCTTGACCTACATTTGTTTATTCATAAAAGAAGCGTCTACTGAGAGCTGCTGAAGGGTCCAGCCCTGTGCCACGGGCCGAAGAGCCTGATGTAACACAGAGCCTTGGCTTGGAGGAGTTTATGGTCTCAGGAAGGCGTAATAGCGTAATAAAAATGGTAGCAGAGGCAGGGTCCTAACCAAGGAAGTGGGTGACCATGACAAGCTGCCCCCAGGGGCGGTAACGCAGCCTTGCCGTAAAAAGCAAATCTGAATTATCCAGAATAAAAAGGGTGGGTAGAGCCATTCTAGAGCGAAGCAGCGACAGGTACAAAGTCCCAGGTGTGTAAAAGAGTGTGGCTTGCTCAGGAACTCACCTGACCCCTAAACCCATTTCCAATGCTCAGGTGTTATAACTCTGGAGAGTTCAAAATGGAAGGTTATCGTGCCAAGGGCAAACCCTCACCAGGCCGCAGTGGATATATCACCAGCAAGGACAATCCGGCCTTGTCCCAGCAATCACTAGGAAAATAGCACCACCTGTCGGTAGTCATATTTCAGCATCACAAATATTTCTTTGGAAAGAGCTGGAAGCAGCCGGTGGTGGTGACTTGCGAGGGATCTAACAGGTTCTCCAGTGTACCTTTCACACCCTCCCCATTCGACCATATAAAGGAATCCTCCTGTAATAGTCCTGACTCATGACCAGTTTCCCCAGTCCCACCGATGGGTCTCCCTAAGTTAAGGAAAACGGAAAGTCATGACTTACATTGGCCTGAATTCAGCCTCCGTTCAACCTTTGACACTGGAAAGAAAAACCCTGATCACTCTGAAGCCCCTCAAGTATCTGAAAATAATCTCATGTCCTTGCTACACCTTTTTGCCTTCCTCCACTCTGTGTATTTTTATTTATTCAACTCAGCCTCATGAGATAGTTTCCAGACGATTCAGCATCTTGGTTACTCTCTTAGCTGCTCTCGTCTGTATCAATAAACGAGCTAAAATGAGAGCACCCAGCCTAAAAATGCATACGCTGTATTTTTGCAACTTGTTCTTAGTAAGCAGAAAGTATAGACTTCAAGTTTCTGATTCAATAACCAGAAATAGGTATCTGAATATTTCAGAATAAAAAAGTGAACACTGAGACATTGTTCATTTGCTGATATTTAAGCATGGGTAAATGTGTGCTACAACTTATGAGGAAGAAGGAGAAACCTAATACAAAACTCCTATTCTTAAGTATGGGAAAATACTCATTTAAAAAGTTAAATTAGGTGGTATATACGCATAGTGAAATAGTATTCAGACATAAAAAGAAATGAAGTGTTGATACATGCAAAAACAGATAAGCTAAATAAAAATCATAAAAAAGTTAAATTAATATAAAATCTAAAAAATAGAAAACATGAAAATAATTGAATAGATATTATCATGTATTTCTAGTTGCAAGGAGGTTTTTATCTCATCCTTATTTATTGCTCTGTACTCATTTGCTAAATTCCATGCAACTCTCTTACTATTTTTGTCTATTATAAAAGCCCAATAAATATTTGTTGGGTTGCTTTGGGGAGAAAAACATTGACTTGCACAGAAATTATTAAATGCTTCAAAATCAGAGAAAATTAGCCAGGTGTGGTGGCGCACGCCTGTAGTCCTAGCTGCTTGGAAAGCTGAGGCAGGAGGTTTGCGTGGGCCCAGGAATTGGAGGTTATAGTGAGTGATGATCAGGCCACCACGCTCCAGCTCCAGAAGGAATGTGGGTGCCAGGCAGAGGATAGGTTTATCCATTCAGACCCTGCCCCCCACGGCCCTTCGAGTTCATTTATTCTCTGCCCGTGTGTGCATTTGGCAACCATCTGAGTGCCACATACTCGGAACAGAGTGACTTCCCTTCCTTCGACTTTAAACTTCCAACTGCCACATGAAGTTTGGGTAAAAGCATACGCCATGGCGACTGGTATGGATTAAGCCTAGAGTCTCCGAATAATCCCAATGCCGTGGCTTTGTTAGAAAGGTCTGTACAATATCATCCTGGTGGCCTGGATTACACAAATGTGCACAAATGACAGTTTCCTCCTCTTCCTTCGCACAGTGTTGAAAATGAATAAAATATGTTTCCCATCGCCCTTCCCCTTGTGCTTGGGGACTCAATGAACTGATTCTGAGTCCGCACGTCTTTATAAAAATGGCTTGTTTTTGCTGAAACATGTTTTCGATCAAGAACATAATTCCACGGTTAGGTGGGTGTTTCTGAAACAAATGTGTATACGGGACAAGTGCATGGGGGAGGGCTTGAGTTTTGGTGACGGATCCCAGGAACTGGAGGTTTCTTGAATCGTAACCTTAGCTTCATGGAGAACTCGTTAGGTGATCAGAAGGGAAAGAGCCATGGTCCGTCCTTACTGATCAATCTCTTGTTCTCTTACTCTCCTTTCTGGATTTGAAAAATTTGAAATATAGCTGAACGGTGTCAATCATTTTTGTTGCGCTATACAGAAGTTTAACTCTTAGATTTATGGAATGTCATAAACTTGAGACAAGTTCCACAAAAGCATTATTTTGTTGATGTGTGGCTCATTTTTTTCAGATATGTTATCTGAATATTAAGATATATTGGGTCCTGTTTACCCAGCCCTTATCATGAACTCTACATTTTGTGACACAGATAGAAGATATTAATATCTATTCAAGTCCTTTGCCCAGTTTTAATTGGTTTGCTGGTCTGTTTATTGTTGAGTTGTAACAGTTACTTACATATTCTGGATACTCCATTTATCAGATGTACAATTTGCAGATATGGTCGCTCATTCCATAGGTTGTCTTTTTCCTTTCGTGAGAATGTCCTTTGATGTACAAATTTTTTAAAGACCAAATTTTATAAAGGATCATGTTTTCCTGAAAAAATTCATACTACATTTCTGTTCTGATGGAAACTATTACGTCTACGATTACAAAGCCAGCGATGTATCATTCGGAGACGCCTTAATGCACGCATTCCATTACGGAAAGAGTGCAATGAGGAGGATGGTGAATAGAACTTTTCTACTAAGGACAGGATGAGAGAAGATGTGTTATTAACTAGAAAAATGATTTGAAATTATCTTATTTGTAGTTTTTGTTTGTTTGAATGTCTGTTCCTTTAAAATCTGTTTATTGAATAAACTGCTTTCACTTGACTTACCCATAGAGATTATTTCAAAATGGAATGATGATATTTTTTAAAACAAAATTATAGACTTTATTTATATGATAAACTCAGGGGTGGATTTTTTCCTCATCTTTGCATTATAAAACATTTTAAAGATTAAGTCATTTTTTAAAGTTTTTGATTTTGATGAAGTTCAGTTTATCTATTTTCTAAATTTATCTATTTTATTGATGGATCTATTTTTTCTTTCGGCTCGCATGTTTGGTGTCCTCTTTGAGAGGCCATTGCCAAATTCAAGGTTGCGAAGATTTACCCCTATGTTTCATTCTAAGAATTCCATGGTTTTAGTTCGTACCTGTAGGTCTCTGATTCATTTTCAGTTAATTGTCGCATGCTAATGCAAAGGCCCTGTTGACTCCAGTTTACCTTCTTTTCTTTCTTTCCTAGGAAGCCTTGAAATCAAGGGGCTGCATATTTTCAATCTGACTTCTCTGACCAAGTCAGAAAGCATCCTGTCTGCCACGCTGTATTTCTCTGCCGCAGAGCCCGCCAGCGTGGGCCCCGGTTGTCCAGGGCCTCACGGGTGCTCTCACCATGCCCAGAGGAAACCCAGTCGGATAGACCTCTCTGCGTGGATCCTCACACCCGACAGAAACCAGAGTCAACTCCTGCGCCACCTGTCAGTTGACATAGCCAGACCGCGTGGAGATACCACATCCTGGCTGTCCGCAGACATCACTCAACTCTTAAAGAAGGCCACGGAAAACGAGGAGTTCCTCATAGGATTTAACATGACACCCACAGGACACCCGCTGCCAAAGCGGGTGTTACCTTTTCCGGAGCCTTATATCTTGGTCTATGCCAACGACGCTGCCATTTCTGAGCCACAGAGCGTGGTAGCGAGCTTACAGGGACGCCGGAATTTTCCCGCCGGGGCTGTGCCCCAGCTGGACAGCCACCTCAGAGCCGCCCTTTCTATGGAACGAAGGAGGAAGCGCTCCACGGCGGTCCTGCTGCCGCTGCAGAACAACGAGCTTCCCGGGGCGGAATTTCAGTACAGGAAGGACGAGGTCTGGGAGGAGAGGAAGCCTTACAAGGCCCTGCAGACTCAGCCCCCTGAGAAGAGTAAAAAGAAGCAGAGAAAGGGACCCCACCAGAAGAGTCAGACACTCCAGTTTGACGAACAGACTCTGAAGAAGGCAAGAAGAAAGCAATGGATTGAACCTCGAAACTGTGCCAGGAGGTACCTCAAAGTGGACTTTGCGGACATCGGCTGGAGCGAGTGGATCATCTCCCCCAAGTCCTTCGACGCCTACTTCTGCTCTGGAGCCTGCCAGTTCCCCATGCCAAAGGTAGCGTCGCCCCCTGTCCTGTGCTCGCGTCCTGTTTCCGTAGGGTAGAAAGACATGCTCAGCTGAGTGTGTGCGAAGCGTGTGTTTTCGTTTACAAAATCTATCTGGACGCTTATTTACTAAATTTATGGTAAAAATAAATAAGATGCTTGGTTTTTCTTAATGGTTGCAAAAGTAATACGAAGTTAGTATTGATATCAAGAAAGATATGAGGAAAAAAAGTTACGTGCAAAATGCTTTTTGCGTTGCTCTCAAACATGGTGCGTGTTCAGCTGCGTGGTTCCATGTGAATCTACACCTGTCCACAATAAGCAAGCCCCAGGTGGTAGAACAGTGACCTTTTAAGGGGTATTCAAGGAACGAGTGGAAGCCCTGGGAGCAAAGAGAAGGGCTAATAGCATTGATGCCCTGATGCAGAACATTGTTTGATAAATGGTGTCTTGTGAGATGAGTTGTCCCCACGGAGGCCAGGATCAGGCTTGAGCCAGGATAACTGGCCTCATGAAATGCACCAAATGTTTATTTCATTTGCTTCCCTGATAAACATTGACAAGGAAATCAAAATAGGATACAAGGACTCTGTAAACTTCTTCCAAGACCTGTTTCAACCTGTCGGGGCTTACCTGTGTCTCTTCCAAAATCTGTAAGGACTGTACTTTATCATATTTGTACTCAGTATCCTGACAAATGTATTTGCCTCTTCAACTCCCCCCTCCATCTTGCACAGACAGTCCAAGTGACTGTTCTCTTTGAATTTAGAATGTAAATAGTACATTCTAGAATAAAATATAACGGTGCCCTTTGGCCATCAGTGAAGCTTATGCTGCACATCCATTCTCATCTTGTAACAGTTTGAATCTTTGTTATTCAGTAAAAAGTGGCTCAAGGAACAGAAGTCAGAGGAAGAATAGAATTTGTTTTTGCAAAACTTGAAGTGAATCAATTTTTGCTATTGTATGATAATGGAGGAAAAAAATCCTTTGCCCCAAAGAGTGATCGATTTCTGCTTATTGATGTTTAAAATGGCATTTTCATGTTCTAGCCCTGTGATCGCTGGGATGCCAAGTGTAACAGACACATAAAAGCAAAGGTCCAAAAGCCAGGTCAGCCTCAGGGCCCGAAACTTGATTGAAATCCCCGTTTCTGGTTTGAATATCTGAGAAAGATGAGCTTCCTACATTTTCTAAGACCTTTTCTTTCCCAAGGATTTTTGGTTATTTCATGGTGCATGAACCCCAAAGCAAAGTAAGAATTCTATGCATTTATAATTATATAAAGAGCTTTATCTTGTCTACATATTCATAAAGGACATTTTACCAATCAAACAAAACTCATTCAACTGGGATGACATTTAAAAATACAGGCACAACAAAGTTCAGAAGTGTAACAAGCAGCGATGAATCTTTATTTCACACGTGGCTTTGCCTTGTGGCGTTGAGAAGTAAGGATGGATTCAAAATCTGTCTTTAAACCCAAGACGACTGACTTTAGGTGGATCTCAGAGTTTTCCAAATAATCTCTCTCACTCTCATAAACTAATTTCTTCTGGGTAACCTGCAGAAGGAGTTTTTCTCTTCTGCGTTGACTCCAACTTTCAGGCCCCCAGGGAGCCGTGATAATGTGGAGATAGTGAGTTGGCTTTTCAGCCCCTAACTCTGGAAAACTGGCTTAGTGTCCTGCCCTCCATGATGACTTCCAACGTGTCCTGCTCATCTGGGTACCTGCTTTCACTGTCCAAAAACCCGCTGTTGCTTTAGAAGAGCTTCACCGTGGTTCTCAGTGATCTAAAGAAGAATAATTTACAAACTGAGGGATAAGAATAGCAGAGATAAATTTAAGGAGAGAAGTATGTTAGTGCAGCGGAACAATTGTTTGTATATTTTGGTCATAGCAGAGGTTCTTAAGCATTACTGGGCCTCCGAATTGCCTGGAGTCTAGCTGGTGTGTTGACTTTGATCCCGCAGATGTCGGGGGCGGGGCTAAGATTCTGTATATGTCACAAGCTCCTCGGTGACACTGATGATGCCAATACACAGATTGCACTTTGAGTAGCACCATTGAGAGTCACGTCCTTTTGGCTCGAATCTTGGTTTCACCACTTACCAGCTAGAGTTCTTTGGGGAAGTTACTAAAACTCTCTACGTGTTGGTTGTATCATTTTTGAAACTGGTAAGGTAGTAAACAACAAAGATAATAGTTTCTACATGATAAGAATTGTGGGAAAATGAGATAGGTGAGCTCCTTGCACTCAGTAGGCGTCTGCGAACGGTTGTCATTGACGTTACTCTTCATGGCCGTAGCTGAGACTAACAAGAGCAGAGACCAAGTGTAGAAAGCTGAGCAAAGACTACAGAGGAAAAGGGATCAAGAGACTAAAAGTCATAAGGCAAGAAAAAGCTTTCTGGATGTTTCTAGTCCCTTTTCAAACGTCGCAAAGCTGAAAACTAGGATTCTCCCTGTGGGCCCGACAGCCTGTGGGCCAGCGAGGTTTCTCTGGAGAGTCACGGAATCAGGAGGGCATCGGTCGCAGCAGCCGAACTCACCCTGATATTTGTCAAACCTTGGAACGGCATCGGAACTCCAGGAAGATGTCGCGGGGATGAGTGTGGCGTTTTCTCTCTGAGCTCGAGATTTCCTCTTGCCAAGTTGAGAGTGGAGGTTTGGCTGTTACAAAGAGTTCTCGATCCCTCATCACTTGCGTGGCTCTGCTTAGCTTTTTTTTTTTTTTTTTTTGAGACAGAGTCTCACTGTGTTGCCCAGGCTAGAGTGCCGTGGCTTCAGCCTAGCTCACAGCAACCTCACACTCCTGGGCTCAAGCGATCCTCCTGCCTCAGCCTCCCAAGTAGCTGGGACTACAGGCATGCGCCACCATGCCCGGCTAATTTTTTCTATATATTTTTAGTTGTCCAATTAATTTCTTTCTATTTTTAGTAGAGACGGGGGTCTCACTCTTGCTCAGGTTGGTCTCGAACTCCTGACCTTGAGCGATCCACCTGCCTCGGCCTCCCAGAATGCTAGGATTACAGGCGTGAGCCACCGCACCGGGCCTCTGCTTAGCTTTTATAGCTTTCTAGCGGTGCCCTTTCGGCCTCCCAGGCTTGGTGTCTTTCAAGGGTGCGGAAACTAAAAGGGCGGGAAACTGAAGCACATGCAGAGGCTACATTAGGGTAATTAACAAGCATCGTTGCAATCAGCACAGGGTCCGTTGTGGCATCAGAGTGAACTGTTTCGGTAAAACTATAGTCCGAGCAACAGAGGATAACAGAGGTCTCTGGCCAGATCAGTGCAACATGTGGACTAACTGAAGCGCCAAAACGCTTTCAGACTTTAGATACACTTTTCGCCCCAGAGGAAAGTTCTCCCAGGCTAGACTCCTCCGTCAGCCCCCCTCTCTCGGCCTCCTGAGCGAAGGCCGGCTCTACACGGTGAGGCTCTTTGCAAAAGCTGACAACCTGTTCTGTAATTCAGAACAGCTGGGTTCTGCCTTTCCCAAATTCCAGGCTTTGCCCTTTCCCTGATTCCAATTAGATATCTGCTGCGCCATCACGCCCGTGTGGGCGGGACTGTAGGAGATGGAGCAAACCCCACAGCCCGGGTCAGGAATGAGGGCTCTGGGCTGATGAGTTGCTCTTCCCTGCCGACGCGCCTGTCATCAGATTCAACTCGGGGGCGTCGTACACGGCTTGGCGGGTGCAGGCCTGACCACTGTAGATTTCGTCCGCAAACACGACAGTTTGAATTTTTCTGATTTCTAGCCCTTCCAGCCAATCTGTTCTCCCTCTTGGGGAAAGACTCTTGGAATTCTGCCATGAGATGAAAAATGCCCATACAGCTAATGCCAAGTTCTATGCCTCCGCCTCTCCTCACCACCTTAACAGAGATGGAAAACAGAAATTTCAAATGAAAATGATCGAGCTGTCGTTGCTGACAGAGATCCAAGAGAACTAACGAGGATTAGAGGAATGAAGTTATTTTTGCAAGGAACTGTGCAAAAGCTGGGAATAGCAAAGACAGAATTAGGCAGCAAAGAATCTAAACGCACTGAACCAAGTGTCCCATGTAAAGAAGAAATTCATGTTTACTGAGTTCAAAGGGATACACCCTCAATTAATTTCCTGAATCTTCCCATTCTAATCTCTAGTCATGAAGATGAACTCTAAAAATATTAAATCTTGATGGACTGAGTTACCTAAGCAAAAAATTACCTAAACTGACATGGAAATCGTGTTTCACCCTCATTAGAAAGAGAGACTGGTGAGAGAAAGAGCACAGATATGCATTTGTGATTGATATGTTTCTTAATGTCTTAACTTGCTCATGAGGAAAGTGACGAGAAACATGATCTGAACTCAAACACAAACAAAAATTATGTATTGGCAATATGCTTTACACGAGCAAATGACCGCATGGATCTTTTGTGCATGACATAATTATTCCTGGTAATGGCAGCTTGATCAGAGGATTCCAGAATGAGGGAAAAAGGAGGAAACCCCCTTGTAATCTGAGCGGTTCCTGATAAGACACGCCAACCCAGAACCAAGGTCTCGTGCCTGAATTCCAGCAAGCCCACCAGAGACTACTCGTGTAATCATAGTTTCTGAATCTATCATTTCTCAGTTGGAGACTAAAAAAAAAAAAGGACAGGAATTTTCCTAGGAAACACCCATGAATATTTTCCATATCTACACCAGGTCATTTGAACAAAACCTTTTATTTTTGTTGATGGGAATTATTTCCAAAGAAATAAGTAACACGGAGGGTACGCTATTTCTTATAAGTATTTCATCCATTTAGCAAGTATTTAGTCAGTGCCTGGAGTACACCCCGCTCTCCAGACAGCGGTATCTGTCACCCTGGGCCTCAGCTAATTAAGTAGATCTACTCTGTATGAAATTTAAATATTATAGAAGTCATGACACGTTAAGATAACAGAATAATGTCAGGAAATCTGATTCGAAAAATCCTCTGGGTCTTTATGACAAGCTGTTTGGATTAAGTGAATAGAGAGAAGTGGATGGCCGCAAAAGCTTTCTTTATAAAACACCAATAGTGATGAAATAAGAAACGGCTGACACCTATTGTACAATATTGATCGCAGTCTGTGTAAGTCACACATACATTATTGATGGTGCATTGCAGATACTATGCAAAATAGAACAGCATGGCCTTCCTTCCCTTACGGGGAGAATACCCTGCTTTGCAATTAATTAAAGCTAATTAATTAAAAGTCAACTATTCTTTTTAACATACATTTAAAGTATCTAAGAAAAAAAGGATAAGAACAGCTGCTAGTCATTAAGACTAATTTTCAATTTATTCCTACTCATAGTAAAGTGGAAGTCTAATGTGTGGATATTGTTTTTTCATTGAAATTGAACTATGGGATGAGATAAATTAAATTTGTCCTTTCTCTGCCATAGGAATGTTTTTGTTTTTGTTTTTAGTATGCCAGCTTTCTATATTATTTGCTTCTCCCTTGGCCTGTGTGTACCCTTAACCTTTTAACTTGTTCCAGTTTCCCATGGCAGGAGTTTTAGGAATTTGAAATTAAAGTACCAGTTCACTGGGGGAAAGGTGCCATGAGAAATTACAAAGCCAGAGTTTTAGTCTAAATCCTATTCCTGACTTGATCTCTGGCAAGTTACCAAATTTCTGTTTCTCAACGTGTTTAAAACAAAACTACTTACACCTGCCTAAAAGAAGCATTGCCGAAAACTGATGTCGGAAAGTGTGGCATCCTGGCCAGGTGTGGTGGCTCACGCCTGTAATCCCAGCACTCTGGGAGGCCAAGGCGGGAGGATCGCTTGAGGTTAGGAGTTCGAAACCAGTCTGAGCAAGAGTGAAACCGCGTTTCTACTAAAAAGAGAAAAATTAGCTGGGTGTGGTGGCACACACCTGTAGTCCCAGCTACTCGGGAGGCCAAGGCAGGAGGATTGCTTGAGCCCAGGAGTTTGAGGTTGCTGTTAGCTAGGCTGACGCCACAGCACTCTAGCCAGGGCAACAGAGCAAGACTCTGTCTCAGAAAAAAGAAGAAAGCAAGGGAGGGAGGCAGGGTGGAAGGAAGGAAAGAAGGGAGGGAGGAAGGAGGGAAGGAAAGTAAAGTATGGCATCTCTTACGAAGTTCTTGCTACCACTCTTGCAATACCTAACATTCTGGGCTTACCAAGTGACCGTTCCTTTAGGTAGAGGAGAGCTGTATGGGCTCTCTAAATAAACCACCTGTTTCCCATGGATGTTAATGGTTCCATTTGGCATTTTCTTAGAGAAGAGATTTTACCCAGGCTTCTTTGGTGAAGTCCCTGCCATCCCTAAAATAACCTTAGGCCCCCTAGTTTATTCCCAGAGGACATGGCCCACTCTTAGAACCGGCTCTACCAAGTTTAATTCCAAACCCACAGTGCAACAGTGACCCCCAGTGGCCAATGGTGCGGTCTTCTTAACCCCAGTTTGTGCTTCTCAAGAGAGTTCAATAATTATTAATATATGGTGGCATAATCATCCTCCTAGCAACTATTAAATAAATTGAATAAATCAATGCCCTTCTGACTTACTTGGTTTTATTTTAGCAACAATGCATAAACATCACTATAACAGCGGCAATTACGCGTCTTTGTTAAATAGGATGCTTGTTAGGATTCTTCGTAATTAACGTAGAGTCAAGAAAAAATCATTTTTGTTGCAATCTCGTTATTGAAAATATCATATAATGTATTAATGCCATGTTTGGGAACCCAGTTGTTTGTAATTCTATGATTCTTGCTGAGAGAACTGGGTTTAAATCCTCACTCTGCCACCTACTAGCTATTTGACATTAGACACGTCACTGAAGTTTTTTGAGTCTTTGTAAAACGTAAGAAAACTTAGCTTCACGGTAAGGATTAGAGATACTACATAGCACATGCCTAGAACGTAGCAGGCACTCACTGTAATAACCACGTTCATGGGGGCGGATAGGAGATGAAGTTGAACGTATAATGATGCCACAGGCTTTGTTAAAGTGCTGAAACGAAATCATTAGATAAGCATTTTACATGATGGGGGTGAGGAGTGGAGAAGCGGTTCCACCTAACACGTGTGTTCTTCTCCCATTTCTTTTTCTAGTCTCTGAAGCCATCCAATCACGCCACCATCCAGAGTATAGTGAGAGCGGTGGGGGTCGTTCCCGGGATTCCCGAGCCTTGCTGTGTACCCGAAAAGATGTCCTCGCTCAGCATCTTATTCTTCGACGAAAATAAGAATGTCGTCCTTAAAGTCTACCCTAACATGACTGTAGAGTCTTGTGCTTGCAGATAACCTGGCAACAAACTCATCCGAATGCTTCCTTCAATCATTAGTTTACTTTCATGGACTTTTTTTTTTTTGCACTGCCAATGCATTTTGCTACAAAAGATTTTTTCCTATAGTCAAAAGAGAATGAGCAAATGGACTGAAGATTTCCGTCAAGGAGAACTGGACGGTATTTGTTTCTGAATGTAACTAAAACCAAGATTTTCGTAAACATGGACATCTATTTCTCTTTTTTTTTTAATCACACACAAAAAGTTATCACTCAAACTGTTGGTAGAACTGTTAGCACACTGATTTATTTTTGTAATGGCCTTTGAAAATAGATGGGAAAAACAGCAATAGCTTTTCATTAATCTCTACTCATTTAATGGCTAAAGGGACATAGTCATTTCACGTTTTCAAGTAGGCTCGTCGCCTTAGATTCGAGTAACTCAGCAAGTGCTAAGTAATCCGATCGACGTTGATGTTTAGCTTCAAAGTTTTTGAAGCTCTTGTTTACTTTTGCTTTTCCTCCACAAGGCGTGGTGTGAGTTGCGTAGAGCACGTGTGCAGAGAAGTGTCAGTGCATATGTGTGTGTGTACCTGTGCCAGGTGCCTGGACCCTCCGCAGGAAGGTTTTATACTTCAGTTTACACGGGTTTCTTTGCTTTTTTAATTTCATATTCCGGCAACACCATTCAATCACGAGAACTTTACCAAAAATGATAGAATAATCCAAGAGCACATACAGAGCGTCACAACTTGACCCAGCCATTTTATTGCAAATACAGTTGTTTTCATTTCCCTGCCTTCCGGAAAAGGAAATCAGAAACCCAGTTTATGAAAACCCAAGTGTATTTCTTCTTCTGTACTTCTTTTTCACAAGTGCTTTCATTTATTCTTCTAAATTGAATTCAAAAATTCATCCTGACACCGTTAACATTTGAGTTCTCATGCTACGTTTTTATTTACTGTGAAGTTATCAATAGATGTCGAGGCTCAAGAACTGATGGACTGTTGGAGCTGTCCTTAAATGATCGATTTAATCATAATCGCGGATTGGATGTCATTCTTCAGCCACATCCAGGTCTAGGTACTTACTTTTTCACCTAGATCAAGGCTTTTGGATCAGTCATGGACTCTACGCTTTCCCAAAGCCCACTGAAAATTACCCACCAGGAAAGGGGGTCAAATATAGATACTGGTTTGTTTTTATCCATGTACCACAAATGTCTCCTCTTATACTTTTGCCTTTGCAAATTGTTTCGCAGATCTTTTACTTGCCATATTTGCTTGTCTGATAGAAATGAATTGAGGCCATACATCATTGTTGATGTTACATCTGTGGTTAATTCTCATCTTAGTTGGGTCTTACCTGATGGTTAGAAACAACTAAGCCATATGAAAGGCTGTGCAGTATCAGAAGACATGGGGTTTGTTCTGTCTCTGCCTGTAGCTGTCTATGGTGGTACAGTCATTTCATAAATATTTATTGAGCATCTATTTCGTAAGAGGCACGGTGTTACCTGTGTGTCTTTGGTGTCCTCACTGGTAAAGTTAAGAGGCTGGCCACTTGAGCTCGAAGGCCCCTTTGGCGCTGAAGGGTTGGGTTTACAATACTAGCTATTTTATGCACATCTTCCTCAAAGTGATGATAGGGATAGGTATAAAAACACTGCAAGTAGCTCTGTTCATAAACCAAATGGAAAAACATCCTGCACTTCGGCTTTTGTAAATGATTATGGCATTCTCTTTGGTTTAAGTGGTATTTTTTTTTGTTGGAAACCCATTAAAAGAAGACCACCATGCAAAGATGCTCTTTGACGCTTTTGGAATACACAAGGTTGGTGCGGGTGTGTGTTAACCCGGAATGAGAAACAGCAGTTGTGAAACAGTGAATTCAGTTCAAGTGCCTAAGTCACTTCTAGTTTATATTTTGTTGTGCTAGTGTAAAGTTAAAGATTCAGAGTGAGATGGGGGATAAAATCACTGTTTAATAAATTTTCTCAAAAATTCGAAAACAAAACGATATACTAGAAGTGGGCCAGTGTGTGGTCACCAAATCCTGGTCATACTGTCTTTTCAATTAAGGAAAACTCTTTCATTGCTAGAGTTGATGAAATTCTTAGTTTTTTCTAAAGATGTATCAACCAAAACTTCTGATAATTCCCGGTATCACTTTTCAGCCTTCTTATATCCAAATGTCAGTTTATTACCTTTCTTAATTTGAATCAATATCTACTTACTACAGATTAAAACCTACAATGCCCCCAAAACCCTCGAAATAATAGAATTTCCAAATACCAACTAATAAAGATCTTAAGTAGCAAACGACGTGATGAAATTGTAGCACAGCGGAAGAGTTTGGGTGATTAAGCTGCAGTTATTCCTGAGTGACCTTGTAGCCATCATTTGACTGCCAAATTGAGGCCACATTTTTCCCATAAACGAGAAAAAATTTATTCTTAAAGCATAAAGAAAGATTACTTTTCAATAGTGAAGGTCGAAGTAAATGGATTAATATTTTAATTAATAAAAAATTATTTAAAATAGTTAGAAAATTGAATATCTATTTCACTGTTTGGTAGGTACTAATTTCTGTATAACTTCTGCATAGACTTTTAGAAATCGGCCGATGTCAAATTGACGTCGAAAAGAAGAGGAACCCCATTTATAAATGCTACTTTCTAAGTCATGCATCTCTCTCTCTCTCTCTCTCTCTCTCTCTCCCATCCTCCCTCCCAACTACCTCCCTCCCTCCATTCCCAGGCGTGGGACATACACACACAGGTAAACCCAGTCATTTTAAAAAGGAATTGTTTTTTAAATAACTATTCTCTGGAATTCAAATTAATGGACTGCCAATGTCATTACAATGTTTTAAAAGTACTTTGTTGTAACCTATGTAAATAATACACAATTTACAGGAATTGGGATTATAGAACTTACTTAGACTGGAAAATTGGATTCCTCAGATCTTAGGAATACAATATTCCAGGTAAATTTTTACATTCACCTGTGTTAGCTATATTTGTTAATATAAGGTTTTTTACCTTAATATTTCTGAATAAAACTCTTATTTTCCATTTAATATTTTCCTAGGCAATCATATGTGAGTAATATTATTATCAGTCTGATTTATAAAAAAAATTTTAAATAATTACATTATTCAATTTAGTCTTTTACGTCTCTGTGCTAATAAGAAACATCTGGACATTGACTTCTTGTTGAATCAAGGTTGAGTTAGAGACCAGCTTTGCACACCTGATATGTAAGATCAAATAAGAAATCTTGGGTGAGTCTGACTTATTTGTATAGCTCTTTTCCCCCCTGAGAATGTATTTCAATGTAGTTGATAATTGTCAAATGATCCCTTTTTTCTAAAACCCAGTCCTTCAGCTTTCTACACTCATTTCTGTAAATGTTTCAGTGGAGAATTTAATTCTTGTATAGTCAACGGCAATTTTTAAAAAAATATATGTATATTATATATGTATATGGAAAAACTTCTTTAAAGATGCTTTTAATTTATTTAATGGCTATTGTCTTCCTATAATGGTGATAATTTTCATCCTGAGATGATGAGAAAAACTTTTTACTATAGTTACTGGATGCAAAATGAAATTTGGTTCTTTAGTCCAATCCACGTAGAGGGCGTGCTGGCGTGAGACTGTGAAGCACACTTCGCTGCCGACGTACGAGCTTCGCGGAATCTGTACCATTTTCTTTCAGTAATGAAGAGCTACTCGTTACACAGCATGGAAATAAAAATTGCTTAATTGACCACGTCCCCATTCTTTTCTGCTTATTGGGAAAGACTGTGGTTCCAAAACCTCTTCAGCTGAGCTGCATTTGGAAAGAGCTAATAAAGCTTAGTTAGGCACAGAGTTGAACGTTTGCAAACCGTATCGTGATGGAACACACAACCTACTATTAACAAAACACAATTAACGTTGTGGGATAGTGTTGAAATACACCCATAATGAGGAATATCTACCATCTAAGCTTGAGAAACTCCGTGTGAATTGTTTAATATTTTCTTTTCTTTTTTAACCACAAACTCCACCTTTTAGACTTGGAGATTTTTTTCTGTCTGGACTTCTGACTCACTATTTTGACAATAAGTTTATTTCACTAGTCATTACCGTGTCCTGTCCGTTTTAGAATGATAAGGATCTAAATTTACGTAACCCGATCATTCAGATATATTTAGCCATCTTTGTTTAGGTCATAGCTCGCTCCTTAAGGAAAAAAATGACCTGAGGGTAAGAAATAAAATATGCTTGCATATTATTTCCACTCTTTTAATTTATCTCTGTGAGATTTATGCTTCCATAGTATTTTCAGTCTTTTAGCCTATCTCTGTCAGGCTGTGATGTTTGCATTTTGGAACTACAAGCCGCTTTTAGAGATCATCTCAAACGAGTCCCTTCCCTTCTCAGTGCCTCATAGAGCTCAACTTTCCCCAGGAGTTGAACTTCCCTGCCCAACTTCAGGCCAACCACAGGTGGTAGAGAGACCGTCTGAGTGAGCTAAGTTTCTGCAAGATAGAAAAATGCATCTTTTGGTGGTAAAGTTCTGAAAAAGGGAAAGAGGGGTGAACTCTGTCCTCTCAGTTCCCATTTCTTAACATCATCAATCAGATACGTTTCTCCCCTTAAAAAGAAAGGATGGGGACAGGAGCAGAAAAGGTTGCTCCAATACTGTGTCCTCCCAGAGAGTGCAAAGGGAACTCCCGTTCCCTGTCTGGGAAGACCGGAAGTGAGATAGTAGTAAGAGCCTCCCACTCACCCCTGCAATTCTGCCCTGTGGGAAACTCTGGCCTTCCTGACACCCCATTACATTTGGAAAGCCCAAGAGAGCAAGAGTAAGTACACGTGGCTGCAACCTTAACTCTTGTCATGGCCCACCGAGAAATGTCGATCAGTGGGCGAATGGCCAACTTCTACTGTCTCACCCTAGGATTGCTGCTCCTCCTCCCACGGAGAAGAACCAGGAGAGGAGGAGGAAGAAGCAGGAAGTGTCTGCAGGACTCATCCTCTCAGCCAATGGGTGGAAGCTGAG